GGTAGGAACTGTAGCACAGGATTAAGCATCTCCTTTGCTGGGCAATGATGGCAGCAACAATGGGCAGAAGCATGTGATATGATGATATGGCTTGTATGAAACCATTAAACATTTTTGCAGGGGCAGGAGATGTTGATGACTGAAGTTACTGCCAAAAAGAAAGAAAATTATTCCACAAAACATTATAGGACTGGCTGAGAAGCTGGCACTGAACTATGGCACACTTCATCAAAGGGCTCTGCCTGGGTGCAGAATCAAGTATCCTGACAGGGGCACACTATACATCCCTGCAAATACCAGGGCCCAGGCACAAATATTGACAATCAGGAAAATAAACTATTAGGTGTCATGCCACAGCAAAAACATAAAACAAAATAAATCGATATGAACACTGACCACTGCTGAGTTACATAGGAAACCACATACAACCAATAGCATATCATCTCCCACCCTTGTGTAGGCAGCAAGGCCAGCTTACATCAGCACTACATCACTGGGCAAACAATGCTATTTCACCAGCTTACATCACTGGGCAAACAATGCTATTTCACCAGCTTACATCACTGGGCAAACAATGCTATTTCACCAGCTTACATCACTGGGCAAACAATGCTATTTCACCAGCTTACATCACTGGGCAAACAATGCTATTTCACCAGCTTACATCACTGGGCAAACAATGCTATTTTATTAGCTTACATCACTGGGCAAACAATGCTATTTCACCAGCTTACATCACTGGGCAAACAATGCTATTTCACCAGCTTACATCACTGGGCAAACAATGCTATTTTACCAGCTTACATCACTGTGCAAACAATGCTATTTCACCAGCATACATCACTGGGCAAACAATGCTATTTCACCAGCTTATATCACTGAACAAACAATGCTATTTCACCAGCTTACATCACTGTGCAAAAAATGCTATTTCACTAGCTTACATTAACACTATATCACTGGGCAAACAATGCTATTTCACTAGCTTACATCAGAACTTTATCACTGCGAAAACAATGCTATTTCACTCATCATATTTGTTTTTACCACACACAAAATAATAATAATTTTGCCCCCATCATGCATAGAAATCTGGTGTTGAATGTTGCACATGGAAAAAAGTAGGTTCAAGTTCAACAGATCTTAAGAAAATGTCTTCTTCCTTATCACACAACCGTGCTCTGAGAACAGATGAGACAATGCTGGCTATAGCAGACATATGTTGGCATTAATGACCACATGAATCAGCTTTTGCTCACTTACTACGGGCACATGTGTAATCATTATGCGTACACATCTGCAACCCCTTACTAACAATCTGACATCATTTTATGTACACTTCTGCAACACTTTACTAACAGTCTGACATTATTCTACATACACTTCTGCAATCTGATACTAACAATCTGACATCATTCTATGTACACTTCTGCAACACTGTACTAACAATCTGATATCATTCTACGTACACTTCTGCAACTGACTACCAACATTTGATCTGTGGAAGTCAGCCACTTGTTAAGACTGTCTCCACCTTGAAAAACAAGAGGATCTCTTCTTTCAAGACCCCATTTGTACTAGTGGCTTGCCTTTACTGCTAGACCTCTGCAGGCCACCAGCTGCATAGCCCTAATCCAGTGTCTCTTGTTGCTCCCCCAACTCACAAGTAAACCATACAGAGGTGCAAGTAAAGCATCCACGAAGACTACTGGCCACCGAGTTGTCCCTAAATGTATGCGCATAACTCTGGCTGTCGCCAACAAACAGTCCACACACAAATTTATGTGATAATATAAAAGCAATCAGAAACTGTCAGTAACTGGACACCACACACAACCTCAGGTGTAAGCAATCAGAAACTGACAGTAACTGGACACCACACACAACCTCAGGTGTAAGCAATCAGAAACTGACCGTAACTGGACACCACACACAACCTCAGGTGTAAGCAATCAGAAACTGAGAGTAACTGGACACCACACACAACCTCAGGTGTAAGCAATCAGAAACTAACAGTTACTGGACACCCTACACAACCTCAGGTATAAGTAATCAGAAACTAACCGTAACTGGACACCACACACAACCTCAGGTGTAAGCAATCAGAAACTGACAGTAACTAGACACCACACACAACCTCAGGTATAAACAATCAGAAACTGTCAGTAACTGAACACCCTATGAAACCTCAAGCCCCTGATTTCCCTGTTCAGTGTGTCATGTCTAAGACCTCATGGCGCCCCACCCAACTCTAGCAGACAATCAGATCCCATCAAACAATGTCCTGCACCAGAATGTCAAGTCTGCTAACCAATAACTGGTGTGTGGTCTATGACTTAGATAAGCCACAAACACTATCTTAACTCAGTTCAGGTTTTCTTCTCCCATGTAGAATGTATCTTGGTGAAAATCTCGTGAGCTCACTGGCAGCAAAGTGCATTCAGGCTGTGACTTGTGTTCTGTTTCTTATCCTGGACTATCAAAAATAATCATTTTCCCTTATTATCTTCTGTTATCCTTGGACTATCTATAATGATCACTTTCCCTTTTTTTTGTGTTGTGTGTGATATCCTAGGACTATCCATAATGGTCACCTTCCATTGTTGTGTTGTGTGTGATATCCTGGGACTATCCATAATGGTCACCTTCCATTGTTGTGTTGTGTGTGATATCCTGGGACTATCTATAATGGTCACCTTCCATTGTTGTGTTGTGTGTGATATCCTGGGACTATCCATAATGGTCACCTTCCATTGTTTGTGTGGTGTGTGATGGGACTATCCATAATGGTCACCTTCCATTGTTGTGGGTGATAACCTGGGACATAATGGTTACCTTCCATTGTTGTGTTGTGTGTGATATCCTGGGACTATCTATAATAGTAACTTTCCCTTGTTGTGTGTGTTTGATCCTGGGACTATCTATAATGGTTTTAAATACCTTCCATTGTCAAACTGATTTGAGCTTCAATGTTGCACCCGATCAAAATAAAAACTATAAAATCTTCTGACAAGTGAAGGTTACTGACACTGTACCGACAACAGTCACTCCTGAGTCCCTGGTGGCCTATACAAATCCAGGACTAGCACCTATCACAATTTTATTAGACAACAGCAAGAGGTGAATAACTTGTCAAAACAATGAGCACAATGCTAGAGGTTCTATTCTCAACTCTACAAAAAGAGGCTCTATTCAAAACTTCCCTTGTAGAGGTTCTATTGTACACTTCCCTTCCCTGCAGCCATCTCCACATATACACACATTCTCACTCCACAGATATCTACGAGGCATATTTTATTAAGTAAGTCCCGTTTTAGCCGAAGCGGCAAAAACCAATGGAAAAGGTAAATGTGCATTTGCAGCATGTTTATGTGATTCATTAGCTAGCTGTCTCCCATTTTCTTTCACTGTCAAAATCTTGTTTGATGCTGCGTGTCAGTGATTTATAATGAGTGCCAGCCTTTTGTTTTTGTTTTGTAGCAAAACAACAACAGTGCTGCAGAAATTCACAGACAACTCACTGAGGTTTATGGACCAGAGTTATGACTGTTAGTATGGTTTGGAAACGGTGTCAAATATTTAAAGAAGGGCCAACAAATATCCAGATGAAGATTATAGCGGTCGGCTAATGACAGATGATCTGGTCGAAGAAGTGAACCAAAACAATTCAGGGAAAATCACTGTCTCACAATTTCAGCGTTGTCTGTTGAATTTTCAGAAGTTTTACGTTCACTAATTTACCAAATTGGGTCGAGAAATCTAGGATAAAAAAAAACTTTAAAAAAAATACAACTGTGTGCCATCCAAAACAAAAGACGTGGGTTGCTGTCCTCTGGAATTGTGCATTTTCATGCTAATGCTCGACCTCAGGTCGCAGGTGGAACTGTTCAATTGTTGCAAACATTTCACAGAGAAATTGTTGACCACCCGCCCAACAGCCCTGATCTGGCACCAAGTGATTGCCACCTTTTCATGCAGCTAAAGAAGTGGCTGGCATCCCTGCAGACAGGCATTAATGAATGGTTCAAGACACTTCCCACAGACTTCCATGACACTGGAATTAAGAACCTGGTGCCATAATACCAAAAATGTGTTGAAGTCATTAGTGACCATGCTGAGAAATAATGTAAATGTGTGGCTTACTTTTGGCTGCAATATATAAAATATTTGATGGTTGTTTTATTTAATTTTATACAGGGACTTACTTTAAAAATTGCACCTCGTATTAATAAGTGGGCTTTTAAAAATCTAACTGGATACCACATCATAACAACATTCCAAACACAACACTTTTACATTCAAATAGCAACAATGTTAACATGTATTATTATGATGAACATTGTGAAGTATACATGACAGTGCGGGATCATATGGTAGTGGATTGGACTTGTAGTCTTTTAGCACAAGCACTATGAAAGCAAGGAAGACCAATGCTGAAAATTCAGTCAGACAGCTAGATCTATCAGATACCTCAAAACTCTGCGATGACACTCGGCAGGTCAGAGGCGCAATTATTACCTCTTTGAAATAAAAATAAAAAAGACATTAAGCTCCTGTCAAAATGTCATTTCAATAAAGACTACTCACAAATCAATGCTTATTCCAGAAGTTGAGTTATGTGTGCATATCTGTTTACAGACCTGGCTTATCTGTATGCTGACTGTTGGTTTCTCATCTCTCAGGCAGATGTATTCCAGAAGTTGAGTTGTGTGTGCACATCTGTTTACAGACCTGGCTTATCTGTATGCTGACTGTTGGTTTCTCATCTCTCAGGCAGATGAATTCCAACTTCAAAGGAAACAGCCCTAATGACTCAACTTTGCAACAAGCTTGCTACAGAAGGCAGTGGGTCTACAGAAGTACAAGCATTAGCCTAAACATCTGCAGCAGAATCACTCAGATCTCATTCAAACAGTCACCAGTAGCATCAGACAAACCTCTGTGACATGTAAATGTGACAAATCTATCAGTGGCAGGTGGCTATGACAAGCAAACAGAACTCACCTGAGGTACCTAGGGCATGCTCTGTCATGCTGATACACAAGGAATCCAGTCTGGCATTGATCTCGGTGTCATTGGCATTTTCAGAACCTGAAATAGGAACACAACCTATCACACATCTTGTAACACAACCTATCACACATCTATCTTGTAACACAACCTATCACACATCTTGTAACACAACCTATCACACATCTTGTAACACAACCTATCACACATCTATCTTGTAACACAACCTATCACACATCTATCTGGTAACACAACCTATCACACATCATCTATCTTGTAACACAACCTATCACACATCTTGTAACACAACCCATCACACATCTTGTAACAGGTCATGATGAAGGATGAGTAGAACAGATAATTCAATGAACATGTGCTCGTCAGAGATGGCTTGCAGCTGTCCAGTGTCTCAGCGGTTGTGTTTCTGACATAACTCTACATATATATGACTATGATGCTTAAAAAACACCCAGAATGAACGTATATATGACTTGAATGTTAGGAATTGAGTATGAACGTATATATGACTTGGATGTTAGGAATTAAGTATGAACGTATATATGACTAGGATGTTAGGAATTAAGTATGAACGTATATATGACTTGGATGTTTAGGAAACATTGAGTATGTATATATGACTAGGATGTTAGTAATTAAGTATGAACGTATATATGACTTGGATGTTTAGGAAACATTGAGTATGAACGTATATATGACTTGAATGTTAGGAATTAAGTATGAACGTATATATGACTTGGATGTTAGGAATTGAGTATGAACGTATATATGACTTGGATGTTAGGAATTGAGTATGAACGTATATATGACTTGGATGTTAGGAATTGAGTATGAACGTATTTATTACTTGGATGTTAGGAATTGAGTATGAACGTATATATGACTGTGATGTTTAGGAAACATTGAGTATGAACGTATATATGACTGTGATGTTTAGGAAACATTGAGTATGAACATGTATATGACTGATATTTAGGAAACATTGAGTATGAACATATATATGACTGTGATGTTTAGGAAACATTGAGTATGAACATATATTTGACTAGGATGTTTAGGAAACATTGAGTATGAACATATATATGACTGTGATGTTTAGGAAACATTGAGTATGAACATATACATGACTAGGATGTTTAGGAAACATTGAGTAGGAACATATATATGACTGTGATATTTAGGAAACATTGAGTATGAACATGTATATGACTAGGATGTTTAGGAAACACTCTATTTGAACATATACATGCCTAGGATGTTTTGAAAACGGAGTATAAACAACTCTCTCTTTCTGTGTGTGGGTGTGCATGCATGCATGTGTGTGGTTGAGAAAGGGGGAGGGTTAAGGCAGAAGTTGACACCCTAATTCTAAAAAATTCTGATAGAGGTGAAGTTATCTACAGTGACGGATCAGTCGTTTGACATGTACAAAGTTCATGTGCTTTCCCAGCCCCGGTTCAAGGGAAAACTAAAAGAAGATAGCGGGGCACTTGGGAAGGGGGTGATATTTCCACATTGCTGGATGCACAGTCACAGACATGAAATCAACACTAAATACATCACTAAAGATAAATGTATTGGAAAGCAAATGCCTATAGAAACTGGTGAGCAGTAAATGGGATGCGATCAGGAAAGGTGAAGAAATCAGAAAACTGTATGGATAATCTCATGTATCAACAGTTATAACTCCGAGAACTGTCTGGACAATCACATGTATTAACAGTTATAACTCCGAAAACTGTCTGGACAATCTCATGTATCAACAGTTATAACTCCGAGAACTGTCTGGACAATCACATGTATCAACAGTTATAACTCAGAGAATTGTCTGGACAATCTCATGTATCAACAGTTATAACTCCGAGGAGATGACAGGATAGAATATAATGGAGTAGACTGCCAGTGCTATGTCACGTATAACTGTACAACAGGATAGAATATAATGGAGTAGACTGTGAGTGCTATATCACATATAACTGTACAACAGGATAGAATATAATGGAGTAGACTGTGAGTGCTGTGTCATGTATAACTGTACAACAGGATAGAATATAATGGAGTAGACTGTGAGTGCTGTGTCATCTATAACTGTACAACAGGATAGAATATAATGGAGTAGACTGTGAGTGCTTTGTCATGTATAACTGTACAACAGGATAGAATATAACGGAGTAGACTGCCAGTGCTATGTCACATATAACTGTACAACAGGATAGAATATAATGGAGTAGACTGTGAGTGCTATGTCATGTATAACTGTACAACAGGATAGAATATAATGGAGTAGACTGTGAGTGCTATGTCACATATAACTGTACAACAGGATAGAATATAATGGAGTTGACTGCCAGTGCTATGTCACGTATAACTGTACAACAGGATAGAATATAATGGAGTAGACTGAGTGCTATGTCACATATAACTGTACAACAGGATAGAATATAATGGAGTAGACTGCCAGTGCTATGTCACGTATAACTGTACAACAGGATAGAATATAATGGAGTAGACTGTGAGTGCTATGTCACATATAACTGTACAACAGGATAGAATATAATGGAGTAGACTGCCAGTTCTATGTCACGTATAACTGTACAAGAGGATAGAATATAATGGAGTAGACTGCGAGTTCTGTGTCACATATAACTGTACAACAGGATAGAATATAATGGAGTAGACTGTGAGTGCTGTGTCACGTATAACTGTACAACAGGATAGAATATAATGGAGTAGACTGTGAGTGCTGTGTCATGTATAACTGTACAACAGGATAGAATATAATGGAGTAGACTGTGAGTGCTATGTCATGTATAACTGTACAACAGGATAGAATATAATGGAGTAGACTGTGAGTGCTGTGTCATGTATAACTGTACAACAGGATGGAATATAATGGAGTAGACTGCCAGTGCTATGTCACGTATAACTCTACAACAGGATAGAATATAATGTAGTAGACTGCGAGTGCTGTGTCACATATAACTGTACAACAGGATAGAATATAATGGAGTAGACTGCCAGTTCTATGTCACATATAACTGTACAACAGGATAGAATATAATGGAGTAGACTGCCAGTGCTGTGTCACGTATAACTGTACAACAGGATAGAATATAATGGAGTAGACTGCCAGTTCTATGTCACGTATAACTGTAAAACAGGATTCCCCCCCCCCCCCCCTCCCCCCAATCCCAATGTAATCTTAAATTAACAGAAATGTTTTACTGGCAATATTAGGTTTCACAGTTATTGATACAAGATTATGCATTTACTTATTTAGAAAAACGTTAAAACAACACTGTGGGGGCATACAGTCCAAAATGTTTCATAATGCCTGCTTATTTGATCATCATCTTTTAGAGTTTACATATTTTTCTATTCTGATCTATCATGGAAGCCGTCGTGGTGTAGCAGCTTGATGCCCATCTCAGGCCAGAAGGTTGTGGGTTTGAATCCACATCAAGCCATATTTATTGTTAATTACTGCAACTCTCCAGCCTAAATGTTTACCAAGTTAAGTCCTGGGAAGTAATCGCAGCTGGCATCATGTCAGTGACATCACAAACACACACACACATCCCCCCTGTGGTCTACAAAATATAGCACCATATGTCCGAAATTCCGAATGGCGTGGGGGTGGTCCCTTAATTTTACTTGACCATCATCCTTGTGTGGGTTCTAGGCCCCCATTTGGAGAATACAGACTACACCCACTGAGTGATGAACTACACCCACTGAGTGATAAACTACACCCACTGAGTGATGAACTACACCCACTGAGTGATGAACTTCACCCACTGAGTGATAAACTACACCCACTGAGTGATGAACTACACCCACTGAGTGATAAACTACACCCACTGAGTGATGAACTACACCCACTGAGTGATGAACTACACCCACTGAGTGATGAACTACACCCACTGAGTGATGAACTACACCCACTGAGTGATGAACTACACCCACTGAGTGATGAACTACACCCACTGAGTGATGAACTACACCCACTGAGTGATGAACTACACCCACTGAGTGATGATGTGTTTTACCTTGTAGTGTGAACACAGGCCTGCTGTGGATCGGGGCAGAGTGAGTCCTGGTCACTGGCTGTTTGGCCGACGGCTGATGAACAAAATCAACATATCAAGGATCACTTCAAAGACTACAATAAATAAATCAGTGATTTCACAGACATCAAACAACATATAATATGATGTCCATCAAACAACATATGATATGATGTCTCCCACAATCAACAATATGCTAGCACAACATCAGACTCATTCTGATAAAGCCTACAAGGTTGCCGAGACAAAATCCCTTGTTGCTCCGCGGGTGATTTGTTTCCTCAAATACATTTCAGCTTTTGAAATGACAAAGTTCTTTCTGGTCCATCTATGACTGAAGAAGGAAAACAAGTTGCAACAAAATTCTGAGAAAAAAGGGGTAGATCTAAAACATTGATAAAACAGACATGAGAAAATATATTAATGCAAACATGGAGTTATAAATGCAGACAAACACAGAATCAAAGAGAATGACAGAAAACTATGGAGTGGAATTGCCAGGAAGCTTAACAGTGAGCTTAAAGGCTCAAGTATTGGATAATAATGTATAAATGTTTTCTGTTCAACAGACTTCCCATTTTGGTACATCTCACGTTTTCGGGCCTAGAAAGAGAGTGGCTTCCCTTCTCATTCATAAATTGTATAGTGTTGCGGGGCTTGTGCTATATACTGCGGGGATGTCAAGCTTAGTAACCCAAAATCAACAAGCAACATTTAACCAGTTGGGAACATGTAACAAACTCAGGCCCAGCTACACACTTATGAGTACCAAAGTCGGACCAGGACACTGTGACTGGATGTTCAGTCATGTGTCTTAACCTTTGAGAGTCTAGGTCCCACGAGAGTGTACATTCTACGTCCCATGGTTTCAGAATTTTTAACATTGTGGGGTGGCCCGCAAAATGCTGTGTTGCTGCAGACATGCAACGCTACCCTCCTCACGCCTGTTAAAGCTGACAGCTAGAATAAACTCATGCTCTACTTAAAAACCGTAGACGGCTTTCACTTACCCACCAACAGATATTAAATCTGCTAGCCAGTGAGAACGCAATGTGGGTGGCCACTGCTAACAGAAATAAGATTAACAGGCATTGCAGAAAGCTTTGTGAAGACAGAAGTACACCAGGACACCCCTCTAACATAGACCAGCCTGACCAATCATCAATGACAGGTCAGCTAGTGTGTACCTGGGCCCGAGTTTGTGACTAGTAATATTAGTTGTTGTCAAGTTCCCAAAACAAGCAGAACTGACCCTATGTGCCTCTACCTAATGAGAATGTGGAGAAGAACAGCAGAAGTGAGCATGAAATGTGTCTATGTCCACAAATATCAATGACTAAAATCTATGTTGACTGGATATCAAAGATCTATGCTGTATGAGAAACTAATAGATGGATTATGATGATGATGATGTGTACCTCTAGGAGTCCCGGCTTGTTGATGAACTGTGTGTTCAATGAGCCAATTCTCTGCACAGGTGTGTGAGTTCCACCATTTCCTGCTCCGACAATTGACCGACGTGTTCCAAAGTTCCATAATGCATTTGACTGCTGAGGGAGGTAACTACTGAGAGGCACTGGCCCTCGTCCTGCTCGAAGAGGGATGAGCCGGCTGGATAAAGATGTCCCCCCTGCTGGGAATGTAGTTCCAGGGAACCTGAAAATGTTCAATAGTCATGTATGTCTACAGGATAACAGGGCTGAGATCATCTCAACATACTGCATGCATCTCATGCTTCCAGATTAACCAAGAATGTTTCACTATACACAATCGTCAGGTGCTATTTCTGTATGGAAGGGTGGCTGTCATAAGTCTTCAAGAGTCAGTGTTATGTATCTTTATGAAGCATGCATACAAGATTTGTGCAGTCCATCTTTTTTATGTTGTCCACTGACAAACATTTTTGCCTTCCACTTTGACCCCCCACCCTCTCCTCCATAATTGTTTCTTGAATTTGTCTTTGCAATTGAATCATGACTCATTAAGTGTCCACATCAAACTAGTTTCATGTCACCGCTGCCAGAGGAGGCTCCTGATGTCCTACACATTCGTTTATTTTGTCTCTTACACATTAGTTAGTTTTATAATCCTCCTTGCCATTTCCCCAGTGAAAGTCCACCTCACACATCCCTATCAGAAAATACGCTTTACCACTGATTTGTATATACTGACCATAACTGTGATACTGAATTTGCTCTTCCACATCATATTCAGTTGGAACAAAGTTGCTGCTGCCATATCTAGTCCTGTCCTAACCTCTGTAGTACAACTGTCATTGTGACACATGTCAGCCAGAGTACGTTAACAGTCTGACCCTGACCTCATTCAGTGACAATCTTCTGGCTGTCTATGAGAGACTTCAAGCACAGCCTGGTGGCTTACGTGTATAGGATGACAGGTAACACGAAATAGTTCACAGAAATGTGATTCAGAGATAATCAATGTCAGCAGGGAATGTCAGCTATGAAACTAATTACTGCAACTCATTTTAACCTAACGTTACAGAAAGTCTTCTTTTTTTAGAACTGGTCTTGAAAAGTAGTACAGTTGTAAACAAGACATCCATACCATGCATGATACACGGGAAATGCAGGACAGCAGGAGAAGGATGAGAAAAGGAACATACCCTCGGCGAGGCCGATCCCCATATTTCTGGGGAGGTTGCCAAATCTTTTGTGCTGACTGTTTCCAGGACTGCATCAGGTTCTTCTGGCGGCTGGAGAATGCCTGCAAATGCAGAAAACACTGGCATAGGAGACACACAGAATTTCAGACAACTAGCTATGAAACAATGTCAACTGGGAAAGAAAACAATAACAATGGAACTGTAGTTTCCAAACAGCTCTTTGGACCACTTCTGAAGTGGGCATACGAAGGTCACATAAATGTGTCAGTGGAATGAAACCATCTGGAGACTCGTTGTATGACTCCTTTGTAGGTGTTGTGAGTTTTCAATTTTCAGCTTCAGTACACTGGCATTCAGGTTGTTTGGTACTCTGGCTATTGCAGTGAGAACTGTACATAAATTGTTCTTCGAGCTTGGTACCAAAGTATTATCTACAAGGTAACTGTTATAGAGCTGTCAGAAAAATCAGTGTGAGTGACATGCAACAAGACCAGCACTAGATTTCACATTTATAGTGGTGCATGTGTGCACTCAGCTGATGCTTCTGCACAGCAAACAGGCAAGGGATGGAAATGACACCTGTGCTGGTCAGGTTTGATCCACAGGCGCCAGGTATTTAAATCTTTGTGGGACACACATCCACCCCATGCTCAGGAGAAAGAAACAGGTTGTATCAAACAAACAAATAATCAAAGGCTTACTTTGCTGTCCTGCAAAATGCAACAGCCATCACAGAGTATTCAACAGCATAAATAATGGATGCATTCTTCTTGCCACCAATGTCTGCTGCCTCCTTCAGTATCAAGCTCAGACACGACTACTAGAGTTATTTTCAGTCAGTAATAAACAACTCTATTTATAACCATTGTATGTAGTTACTCAAGTGTTTGTTTAGGATAAATCACATAAAGAGATAACTGGTCGGTGTCCTAGCAGCTACTTTATTTGTGTTCACACTTTCCGTTTGTCTGTTTATGAAGCTAGATGGATGCCAGGGTCTCTCTCCCACACGCACACGTGCGCCGGATGAAAGGAGATTTTCAGCCAAAGATACTAAATCTGGCAGTCTATGTGTAGCACAACATGTAAACTTAATGACATACCTGGAGTCCTTGCTGTATACTTATTACAGTAACATACAGACTTGATGTATCTAAATGCAGGATACCTGCAGATCCTCTCATTACAAGATAGTCACTGATAGATCCCACTACTATATATATCAAGAACAACAGCTAGATCTCATTTTTATACAACAGTGACTGCTGAATTCTACTATTATATAATAGTTATATAATAACAACCATATCCAGATTCCACTTTTACGAGGCCCATTTTAAGTAAGTCCGGGTATAAAATTTTAAAAAAAAAATATATGCAAATATATTGCAGCCAAAAAAAAGCCACACATTTGCATTATTTCTCAGCATGGTCACTAATGACTTCAACACATTTTTGGTATTATGGCACCAGGTTCTTAATTCCAGTGTCATGGAAGTCTGTGGGAAGTGTCTTGAACCATTCATTAATGCCTGTCTGCAGGGATGCCAGCCACTTCTTTAGCTGCATGAAAAGGTGGCAATCACTTGGTGCCAGATCAGGGCTGTTGGGCGGGTGGTCAACAATTTCTCTGTGAAATGTTTGCAACAATTGAACAGTTCCACCTGCGATCTGAGGTCGAGCATTAGCATGAAAATGCACAATTCCAGAGGACAGCAACCCACGTCTTTTGTTTTGGATGGCACACAGTTGTGTTGTTGTTTTTTTTTTTTTTTTGGTGCATCCTAGATTTCTTGACACAATTTTGTAAATTAGTGAACGTAAAACTTCTGAAAATTTAACAGACAACGCTGAAATTGTGAGACAGTGATTTTTCCTGAATTGTTTTGGTTCACTTCTTCTACCACATCATCTGTCACCACACTCGGCTGATCACTAAGATTTTCATCATTGAAATTGTTTCGTCCTTCTTTAATCATTCAACACCATTTTCTAACCAAACCATAAAATAAATTCCATTACTTTATACACAACCATAGCTACATTAAATCGCAACGTGACTGAACTATTAAAGAAACAACCACAGCAAGATTCCACAATTAAAGAAACAACCACAGCTAGATTCCACAATTAAAGAAACAACCACAGCTAGATTCCACAATTAAAGAAACAACCACAGCTAGATTCCACAATTAAAGAAACAACCACAGCTAGATTCCACAATTAAAGAAACAACCACAGCTAGATTCCCCAATTAAAGAAACAACCACAGCTAGATTCCACAATTAAAGAAACAACCACAGCTAGATTCCCCAATTAAAGAAACAACCACAGCTAGATTCCACTATTAAACAACCACAGCTAGATTCCACTATTAAACAACCACAGCTAGATTCCACAATTAAAGAAACAACCACAGCTAGATTCCACAATTAAAGAAACAAACACAGCTAGATTCCACTTTTAATTAAACAACAACAGCTAGATTCCACTAGTATATAAACAACTACAACTACATTCCACTAGTATATAAACAACCACAACTAGATTTCACTAGTATATTAACAACCCCAGCTAAATTCCACTATTAAATAAACCCATAGCTAGATTCCACTAGTATATAAACAACCACAGCTAGATTCCACTAGTATACAAACAACCCCAGCTAAATTCCACTATTAAATAAACAACCATAGCTAGATTCCACTAGTATATAAACAACTACAACTAGATTCCACTAGTATATTAACAACCCCAGCTAAATTCCACTATTAAATAAACCCATAGCTAGATTCCACTAGTATATAAACAACCACAGCTAGATTCCACTAGTATACAAACAACCCCAGCTAAATTCCACTATTAAATAAACAACCATAGCTAGATTCCACTAGTATATAAACAACTACAACTAGATTCCACTAGTATATAAACAACCACAGCTAGATTCCACTAGAATATAAACAACCCACAGCTAGACTCCACTAGTATATAAACAACCCCAGCTAGATTCCACTTTTAAAAAACAACCATAGCTAGAATCCACTAGTATATAAACAACCACAATTAGATTCCACTAATATATAAACAACCACACCTAGATTCCACTAGTATATAAACAACCCCAGCTAGATTCCACTATTAAACAACTACAGCTAGATTCCACTAGTATATAAACAACCACAGCTAGACTCCACTATTAAATAAACAACCATAGCTAGATTCCACTAGTATATAAACAACCACAACTTGATTCCACTAGTATATAAACAACCACAGCCAGACTCCACTATTAAACAACTACAGCTAGATTCCACTAGTATCCCACTTCTGACAATTTTTTTGAAGCAGTGATCGTCGGCAGCCATCATCGCAGACAGCCCAGTCGGACACAGCTCTCTCTCGCTCGCTCGCTTTACCGCCCGATTCAGCCACGTGTCTCTCGTCAGCCGGTAACTATCCATTCGCAGCCAGATTATCAATAGCTAGATACTGGTCAGAACTCGCTTGACATTCGGCTGAGTTTTGGCTCGACTAGACTATTGTTATTCGTCTGCGGGTGGGTTATTAGCGGCCCGGGAACACAGCATTGTTGAGGAGCCTGCCATACCAGCCAGTTTTTTTTTTTTTTTTTTTTTTTTTTTTTAACGATTGTCTCGAGAACTGCGGAGAAAAGCACGCTTGGGTGTCCTTTTTAGGATACTCTAACAAGCCTTGCCAGACTCTGCAGGGACCGAGCAATCAATTGCCGCCCGACTTACCAGCCTCAGCCACACGAAACCATGGCCCGTGGTAAGAAGAATCCGGTCCAGCGCCGGGACACCAGAGCATCCTCAGCCAAAAAGGAGGAAGCACCTGTCGCCGCACCAGAACTGACGATGCCAGAACCGGTCGACGACCCGGAGGAGACACCAGCCTCACACACCCAGACGCCGCCAGCCCTGGATGTGGGCCCTATCGAGGCACCCGTCTTCCCAGAAGCCGCCCCAGTCGTGGCGCAGGAACCGAGCAACACCCGCCCACTCAGGCAGCAGCAGCAACGACCGGGAGCCTACACCACAGAAGTTTTGCAGTGCTCTCGCTGCAACAAGGCGTGGCACTCTGCCTCGTCATGCCGCAGCAGCCCATCGTGCCGGTACTGCTCCGGCCCTCACCTATTCAGGGAATGCCCTCTGGCAAAAGTGGACCCTGACTTTAAAAAGCCGAACGCAAGCAGAAAATGTTCCAACTGCTCCGGTGCACACAGCGCCAGGTACATGGGTTGCCCGTACCTGAAAGAAGTAAAGAGAGCGATGGCGAATTCCACCACCAGGACCACACACAATCCAGAGCCGAAGCAAAGATATCAGGCGCCCAGTCCGACAGCTGCGAACAACAACGTCATTACGCAGCTGAGAGACGAAATCAAATCCCTGCGAGAAGAGAACGCACGAATCGTGGCACTCAGGACTCAGGACAGGGACGAGATGATAGACCTGCGAAGCATCCTGCAGGCATCTCTCGAGACCCAAAGGAGACTCGAGGAGGAAAATACAGAAATGGCGAAGTTCAAAACAGAATTGATGGCAAATCTAACCGACCTCAAGAAGTTAAAGGAAACAGACGCAGTAGCCGCCAAAGAACTGAAAGACAACCAGAAAAGTATACTTTCCGAGATAGCCACCATCAAGAAAGACCTGACAAAAACAAAAGCAGAGGTAGCCGAGACAAACAATGAATGCGACAAACTCAGCTGTGTAATCGAAGCCACGCACAGAGTGATAGAAGCCAGAGAAAACGCGAAGAAAGAAAAAGACAGAAAAAGGCAGATCCACGACGCACACGTGAAACCCGGAGATCTAGAGAAGAAGTGCACACAAGACCTATACATCCTCAAGGAATGCCTGAAAGGCGACTTCGCAGCAATCAACAAGGAGGTGAAGCAACTCAAAGAAGCCACCCGGCATCTTCAACTCGAAAGCATAAGAAACAACAAAACGAAGATAGCAGCCCACTCAAACGGAAACGACGCCCACGTGAAGTAACAAGTTGAAAGCCAACATGCAGCAACCAATGAAAACCTCACAAGCCGCCATGACAGCTGAACAACCACGCCCACCAGCCCTGAGAAACCTCACAGCCCACAACCAGATGACATATGTCCGCCGCCCAGCCACGCCCACCTACCTCACTCTGACAGAAGCAACTAACCTCAGGCAGAAATGTAAATCGCCACAACAGAAACGACTATAACTGGATAACAAAACTCCAGACAACAAAACACCGCTTCGATATAACCAAAGCTCAATCTAGGAGCCGGTTGAAAGAGGCAAGAAGTTTTTCGTTTTTTTTAGCAACACCAGTACCAGCACTCCACTAGTATATAAACAACCCCAGCTAGATTCCACTATTAAATGAACAACCACAGCTAGACTCCACTATTAAATAAACAACCATAGCTAGATTCCACTAGTATATAAACAACCACAACTTGATTCCACTAGTATATAAACAACCACAGCCAGACTCCACTAGTATATAAACAACCCCAGCTAGATTCCACTATTAAATGAACAACCATAGCTAGATTCCACTAGTATATAAACAACTACAACTAGATTCCACTAGTATATAAACAACCACACCTAGATTCCACTAGTATATAAAAAACCCCAGCTAGATTCCACTATTAAACAACCACAGCTAGATTCCACTAGTATAAAAACAACCACATTCCACTAGTATATAAACAACCACAGCTAGACCCACTAGTATATAAACAACCCTAGCTAGATTCCACTATTAAATAAACAACCATAGCTAGATTCCACTAGTATATAAAAAAATTACAACTAGATTCCACTAGTAGATAAACAGCCACAGCTAGATTCCACTCTGATATAAACAACCACAGCTAGATTCCACTAGTATATAAAAAAATTACAACTAGATTAAACTAGTATATAAACAACCACAGCTAGATTCCACTAGTATATAAAAAACAAAAAGCACAGCTAGATTCCACTCTGATATAAACAACAGAAGGTAGTGTTTCTTACTTCATGCTGAAGGCACTTGTCTAGAAGCTGAAGGTAACTCTGAAAACATTCATCATCTGGACGGGATGTAACCAGCAGTTGTGTACACACTGTGAGTGAGCAAAACAAAACATGTACACACTGTGAGTGAGCAAAACAAAACATGTACACACTGTGAGTGAGCAGAACAAAACATGTACACATTGTCAGTGAGCAGAACAAAACATGTACACATTGTGAGTGAGCATAACAAAACATGTACACATTGTGAGTGAGCAAAATAAAACATGTACACACTGTGAGTGAGCAGAACAAAACATGTACACATTGTGAGTGAGCAGAACAAAACATGTACACATTGTGAGTGAGCAAAATAAAACATGTACACACTGTGAGTGAGCAGAACAAAACATGTACACACTGTCAGTGAGCAAAACAAAACATGTACACATTGTCAGTGAGCAGAACAAAACATGTACACATTGTGAGTGAGCAGAACAAAACATGTACACATTGTGAGTGAGCAAAATAAAACATGTACACACTGTGAGTGAGCAGAACAAAACATGTACACATTGTCAGTGAGCAGAACAAAACATGTACACATTGTGAGTGAGCAGAACAAAACATGTACACATTGTGAGTGAGCAAAATAAAACATGTACACACTGTGAGTGAGCAGAACAAAACATGTACACATTGTGAGTGAGCAGAACAAAACATGTACACATTGTGAGTGAGCAAAATAAAACATGTACACACTGTGAGTGAGCAGAAAAAAACATGTACACACTGTGAGTGAGCAGAACAAAACATGTACACATTGTGAGTGAGCAAAACAAAACATGTACACACTGTGAGTGAGCAGAACAAAACATGTACACACTGTGAGTGAGCAGAGCATGTACACACTGTCAGTGAGCAAAACAAAACATGTACACACTGTCAGTGAGCAAAACAAAACATGTACACACTGTGAGTGAGCAGAACATGTACACACTGTCAGTGAGCAGAACAAAACATGTACACACTGTCAGTGAGCAAAACAAAACATGTACACACTGAGTGAGCAGAACATGTACACACTGTCAGTGAGCAGAACAAAACATGTACACACTGTCAGTGAGCAGAACATGTACACACTGTCAGTGAGCAGAACAAAACATGTACACACTGTCAGTGAGCAGAACAAAACATGTACACACTGTCAGGGAGCAGAACAAAACATGTACACACTGTAAGAACAGAATAAAATACGTACACACTGTCCGTAAGTAGAACAAAACTTGTACACACTTTGAGAACAGAATAAAACATTTACAAACTGTGAGCAAACATAACAATATATGTTCACACTATGAAAAAACATAATGTGTGGTTGAAGTTAAGTTCCTCCAAACTATATACAGACAGTATCACATTAAAGCAACAAAGTTGTGCTCTCTGGTCACCATATATGTTGAACATCGGCCATGCTAAATAGTCCTGTGCGAGTCGCCGGTGGCTCCCACAGCTTGCCTTGTGATGAAGCTCCCTTAGGCCAGATCCCCAACTTCTGCTGGAATAGATGAGGGCCTCCTGCAGCATCTATTAGGAAGTCTGTCTATCTGCTCCATTGTCACAGACAACAGATTATTGTATGTCTATTTTGTGTATGTCTAACATTGAACAGAGTTTGGTTCGAAGTCTTTAAAATTGTTTCTTCCTTTCTTCCAGCAGTTTTTGTTTTCATACTGTCACTCTCTGTTTTGTAGTTTTCATTGAGCTTCATCCTCTTGGATAGTTTTGGTTCCTCTGAACTTCTGACGTTGATAAGACTTCATATACTGAGTGTTCCATCAATTTTCTCCACACTCAATGCAGCTGTCTAGCTAGTGATTAAGTTGTAACTAGTGATAAAGTTGTGTCTTCTGTCGTTTGCCGCTAAAGTGACAAGCACAAAGTTTGGGCTCTAAAGACCTGGTGAAGATGGTAAATAATGCATGTGACCTTGTGTGAAACACTGCACATGAAAAAGAGAACATATGGTGTACCTTTGCCCATGAGGCGGCAAAACTGTGCAGGGAGGTCCCCTGCCATCACCTCGTCTGCCGAGGGAGACTGAGGACCGACTGATGAAGATGATGTTGATGTGGGTGTTGGATATGCAGAATGGCCCATGGTGGATGTAAGAAGAACCTGTGCTGGGTTGAAGGCTTTGATAGGTGTGTTTAGCATGGCTTTCATCTCTCCCAGTGCAGCCTTGATTGACCCTCTCTCCTCAACTATACTCTGCAACAGAACAAGACAAGTCCATCTTTAGGCAGACACAGAAGACTAGACACCAGATCTGAGTCACAAGTCTAGGGCCTTGTCACACCAGCAACGCACCAGGCATATGATGGCAGCAGACTCATATTGTTTGATTAGCACTCAACAGATGATGTGGTCAACATCAGGCCAGCCACCTTTGCTTCCCAGGTCATTACCTTGTTGGAACCCATTTAGGTTGGTGGAATGACATGGAACCAATCTGGTTGTATAAGCTAAGGTAAGAGTGGTCACAATAAAATGTGAGAGAAAGAGGGGGGAGAGAGCTGCATTAGAGAGAGTCGCAGAGATAAAAGCTGTGAATGTGTGTGAGTTAGTGAATATGTGAAAGTCAGTGAGTATACATGCGATTTAGCAGTCAGCGAATTTGCATGAGAAAGAAACGCTACTGTGACTGTGCACGTGTAAGTGTATGTGTACGCGCACGCAGGAGAGAGTGTGTGACCTTGTGGATATCCTTTCCCATCCATCAACAAGCCAGAGATTAGCAACAGTGTATGTACAAGGTAGACTCAATGTTTTGTTTGTTGTCACTGATATGAGAAATGTAGCACGTCTACCAGTGTCTGTAGAGGGGCTAGAGATGCATGTGACAACAGGAGCCTGTTCCTCTGTGCTGGTTCTTCTCCTGTCTCTTCCTGCTAGCTTGTGCGCTGTATCTACTCAGTCCTGACTAATACCTCTTATATTATGATTCACTTCAGTCTGTCTTGTTCTTTAACTGTCATCTAATACACTCTAGTTTGTAGCCATCTTCTTTCATTTTGAAGGTAAGAATTGCCTTTATAGCAAAGAAATTACATTTAGTACCAAATTCAAAATAGTTTATCATCAAAATAAACACACAATCATACAATCAATCCTCTGAGCTAAATATCAGGAACAGCAAGAAAATGGAGGATGAGAATATATCAATCTTTGTGGAGGGCAGTTATATTGACTTTGAAAACAAAAGCTGCAGCAACACAACTTACATGTCTTGTCGTAGACAAATGTTTTTTGGATGGAAAACTGAAATGAGTCAGAATAGGCCTGTTCTCATTTACCCGACACTATGTCCCTGGAACAGCCACAAAAGTTAAGGGAAAAGCTAAACATCATGAACATGACCAAAGCTGACAAGCTGACTTCCGTTTTCAAAATGGCGGACAGCAGCTGTGTTTATTGTCGCTGGCTGTCAATTCTCTCGGATTATTCTGTTCTATAATCATGGACTGCTATTTTATGCGCATTTCCAACGCAGGATATTATGTGTTTTTCGTGGGAACAGCGTGTATTGTGGTTGTGCTGTGTCGGGGCGGGAAAATGACCGATAGTTTTGGCAGCCTCGACCACGCTGCCTTCGCAATGTTTTGATCGCGGCGGTCCACTCGGGAAGACAGAATCTCGTCAGCAGGGGACTGCAACTGTCTAGAGAGCAAACTCGATAAAAGCTGTCCCCAGAAACGGAATGTGTCAACCATATATTTGGTGGGGAGGAATCGACACATACGGCTAACTCAATGGCCATGCGCAAATATTTATCCAATAGTGGTACCACCACGTTGGGTAACAATCAAGTGAAAGCGGGACTCGCTCTCACATCCCAAACAGGTTTACCCTTAGCCACCAACAGCCCCGCGGCTTCCTGCATTGCTAGGGGAGGACAGGGTGTCACTTCTAACTGCGAGGACACACTTCCACCACTTGTAATCATGCAGTGGAACGCCGAAGGCGTATTTAACAAAAAGAGAGAACTAGAGGAACGCCTGCGAGCAGAAAAAAATCGACGTTATCTGCATTCAAGAGACGCACCTCAACCCAAGTAAAAGATTTCATATTAGAGGATATGAAATATTTCGCCAAGACAGAGAAAATAGACATAAAGGTGGGGTTGCCACGCTGGTTCGTAATTCAATACCAGCGGTTGAACTACATAGATCCAACCAGCTGAATACTGAATTCATTGCTGTCCAGCTGCAACTAAAAAATAAAAATATGTCAGTCTACAACATTTACTCACCACCTACCCTTCCCACCGAACTTGAAGCTATACAGGTTCAAGAGAGCAACTTGCTAATTATCGGAGATTTGAACAGTCACTCACCCAGCTGGGGTTATGACTGTTTAGATGCTCGTGGAGAAAATCTTGAGGAGTGGCTAATCACAAACTGTCTCATCCTTCTCAATCACCCTGATGACCCGCATACGCACTACTCTAGACGGTGGCGCACAACAAGCACACCTGATCTAGCATTTGCAACAGACGACATCCATAAGATATCTGTTAGGCAGGTGTGTGACCAGTTAGGAGGCAGTGACCACAGGCCAGTGAAGATTCTGATAAACAGCCTTAAAATAGAAAAATCTCCAGATACTGCACCAAGCTGGAACTACAAAAAGGCAGATTGGAAACTTTTTCAAGAACTTGCAGACTCAAACTGCAAAGCAATCAGCCTTTCAGGTAAGGTTGACAGAGATGCACAAGAATTCAACAAGGCCATACTGAATGCAGCAAAAAAAAAACATTCCTAGAGGAAAGAGGCACAATTACAAGCCATATTGGTCACCAGAACTGGAAGTGCTTCACGGTTCGCTCTGTGATGCTAGAGATAGCATGGAAGCTGATCCAACAGACGAACATGTGAAGCAACACAACAAAGCAAGGGCTCTCTATGTCAGAGAAAGAAACCTACAGTGTAGAAAGTCCTGGAAAGAAAAGACTGCTTCTCTGAACATGGAAAAAGACACCACAAAATTGTGGAGACTGACAAAGGCACTTAATGATGACAACCCATCTCATGGAAAAACAGTTCTCCAACAAGAAGGAAATCTACTCACAGGAAAGGAAGCAGCGACTCTGATGGCCCGAAACTATGAGAAAGAAAGCTCATATTCGGTAACCCTGGAGCAAAAGAAAGAAGTCCGAGATGGGATAAACTCCATATTCAAAAAAGCCTCTTGTGAGCCATGCATGGAGACAGACATCACTCTAACTGAGCTACTAAGAGCAATGAGAAAACTCAAGTCAAAGAAGGCACCTGGCCCAGACGAAGTTTCAAACGACATGCTCAAACATATGGGTCCAGTAGCACAAAACATCTTACTCCAGATATACAACTATAGCTGGAAACTAGGCAGAGTCCCAGATATCTGGAAAAATGCTATAATCCACCCTATCCTCAAAAGTGGCAAGGACAAGAAGGACCCTCAGAGCTACAGGCCTGTCAGTCTGCTAAGCTGCCCCGCAAAACTGATGGAGAGAGTGCTAGCCACCAGACTTCAGTGGTTCCTAGAAACCAATCACAAACTGGATCCCGCTCAGACAGGCTACCGACAGCACAGAAGCACTGATGACCAGGTAGCATACCTTACACAGGACATAGAAAATGGCTTCCAGGAAAAGAAGAAAACCCTCACAGTCTTTTTCGATATGTCCAAGGCCTTTGACAAAGTATGGAAGGATGGCTTGATGCTAAAGCTCTTTCATAGTGGAATAAGAGGCAGAATGTACTACTGGATACAAGACTTCCTATCACACAGGCGGGCATCTGTGAAACTAGATGAAGCACATAGTCCCAGATTCAAGCTGAGAGCAGGAGTACCACAGGGTAGTGTACTGTCTCCAGTCCTGTTCCTGATTTACATCAACGACCTACCTCAAACTTTACCCAGACACGTATCACATTCTCTTCATGCAGATGACCTAGCTGTGTGGTACACCTCTGAGTTCATTGGACCTGCTATATCAAAACTCCAGGAAAGTGTGAATAGTGTCATAAACTGGGCTAACAAATGGGGGCCTCGAAGTAAACAGGAACAAAAACTGTAGCAACATTCTTCTCATTGTCTACAAAGGAGGAAAAGTTTACATTAAAATTCAACAATGATGCTGTTCCACGCTCCAATACTCCAACCTTCCTGGGAGTCAAGCTTGACAGTCGTCTGACATGGAAACATCACATACTAGAAACTAACAAAAAAGCCATGAGAAAACAAGGTGTGATGAAGAAATTGGCAGGCACCACTTGGGGAGCAGACAGTTGTATCTTGAAGCAGGTATACACCGGCACAGTCAGACCAACTCTCGAATACGCATCATCGTCATGGATAACAGCAGCCCATTCCAATAAACAGATACTAGACAAAACGCAAAATAGAAGTCTGCGTACAATTCTGGGAGCCATAAAATCTACACCTATTGTAGAAATGGAAAAGGCAGCCAACATCATCCCCTTAGAAGAAAGAAGAAGGACAAAAGCAATTCTACATGCTGAAAAAATGAAGAGAATGTTAAACCACCCATTACACGAAAAAATTGGCAGCCAGGACAAAAAAACAGAATAAAGCGCACAAGCCTAAACCATCTAACGAAGGAATTTGGAAAGTCATTCTCTTCACTACTTAACCAACAATGTACACCTGAAGAGCTATCTTTCGATCTCTGGGACTCCGAATTATTGACACTCAATGTGTCAACATCCATCCCGAATCTGGGAAACAAAGATGCTGAGCCCGCTTTAGTGAAGAAAGCACTCACAATGGAACACCTCAACAACATGTTCCCACAGGACAGCTGGACAAGAATCTACACGGATGGATCAGCAAAAGAGGCAACTACGAATGGTGGGGCAGGTGTCTACATAAAACACCCAGATGCCACTACTGTGTCCCTAGCAGCCCCCACCGGACGAACTTGCTCTAACTACAAGGCAGAACTCTCAGCTCTATTGATGGCAGCACAGTATATGAACAATCTGCAAATCACCGCAGGCAGGATAGTTTTTCTCACTGACTCACTGTCAGCTGTTCAGGCCCTTGAGTCCAAACCTACCGACAGCACACTACAAAGTATAACACAGGAACTTGCTATGTTGTCAAATAAGGCAGAAATTCACTTGCAGTGGATTCCGTCTCACTGCGGCATCAAAGGCAATGAAAGCGCAGATGCTTTAGCCAAGGAAGGCAGTAACAAACTACAGACCTACCAGCCACTATCTTTTCCAGAAGTCAAAACTCTCATTAAGAGAAAATCAGAAACAGACTGGAAAAACAACACTGGTTATGACTACGGAAAAGATTTTCTGAGGCACTTGAACAGAACAGACCAAGTCACAGTTTTTCGCTTACGCACTGGACACTGCAGACTCAATAAACACTCATATAAATTAGGTATGAGCCAAACAGCTCTCTGCCAGTGTCTTCGTGCTGAACAGACTCCAGAACATGTCCTGCAAGACTGTCCTCTCCTGGCGGAGCTGCGGAGCGACATATGGCAACACCCAGTAGAACTGACAACTAAGCTTTGGGGAAACCTAAGAGACCTTGAAAAGACATCCCAGTTTATGACCCACAGTGGATTATGCGCATGACCAGAGATCGCTGAAGAAGTAGAAGAAGAACATGACCAAAGCTGACAAGGCACTACAAGCACTACAAGCTGATGTTGCATGGCTGTGTGTGTCTACAGTCTGAGCATATTCTAACAGTCTGCATGGTGAACATGGCTCACAGTTACAGGCTGGCTGCGTCAGTGACATGAAGGCTTCTGACAGACAGTCAGAGTAATGGGTGTTCCATTCTGTCAAACTTCCAAATACTTCTAGTGGAGATGGTCTCAGAAAAAAACTTGTAGACATGCAGCCACGTGGGAACAAAAGAACATCTACAGGAGCTGACTAGATATGACTTACCCTCTCCAACTTTCTGAGAACATCCTGCCTCTCCCTCAGTTTGAGGATGCTAACGTAGATCTTGTGTCGAGCACCTTTTGTCACATTCTGTAAATATTCATCAGTGAGTATCAGTGGTATGTCAACTATACTGTCACACTGTGTAGACAAACATGAGTTGGGTGTGGTGTTTTATATTAAGACATGTGAATGTCCTTAATTCCACCCTGGTAGGTCAGCCACAGATCTTAGCAGAGCTTCTCCAAGATTTGGCTACTGTTTACTGTGATCATCTTGCAGTGTGCAAAGCTGGTAGTCCTCAGCAAGCTTGACCATTCTGGAGATCATGGCTGACCACTGTGAGCGGCTAGCGTGTGCCTAGCTCCCACCATGAAAAGATGACCAGAGGTGTTGGGTAATGTAAAATATATCTGTGGTACTGAAGTTTGTGGCTGGGAAAACCAAGTGTCTTGTTAATTCCTGCTGATCCACTACCACAGTTGTACACTGCTGTCTGTATGTGGAACACGTACATTTGATATCATTATTTCTATACAAGCATAGACAGACACATACACACACACACATTCAACAGAGATGAGCAAGGGAAAGAGGAGGTTTGCAGTGAAGCTGGGTGGATATGGAAGAAGAGGTTTACAGTGAAGCTGGGTGGATATGGAAGAAGAGGTTTACAGTGAAGCTGGGTGGATATGGAAGAAGAGGTTTACAGTGAAGCTGGGTGGATATGGAACAAGAGGTTTACAGTGAAGCTGGGTGGATATGGAACAAGAAATAAAGTAACAGTTTTAGTGATGAGGAAATGGGGAATAAGGATCAAAGTAGTGAATATTGCTACTAATTTCTCTCTCCCTTTTGCTTTCTCCCTCCCTGTCACCTAACACTTCCTTCTCTATGTCTCTCACACACCTACCACCTCCTCCTTTCTTTCTCTCTTACCACTTCCATCTCTCTCTCTCTCTACCACCTCCTCCTTTCTTTCTCTCTTACCACTCCCATCTCTCTCTCTCTCTCTCTCTCTCTCTCTCTCTCTCTCTCTCTCTCTCTCTCTCTCTCTCTCTCTCTCTCTCTCTCTATATATATATATATATATATATATATATTCCTTCTCTTTCTCAGACATCTATCACTTCCGTCTCTCACACATTACTTCCTTCTCACTTTCTCTCACATGTACACATATCACTTCCTTCTCTCACACACTTCCTTCTCACTTTTCTCTCACATGTACACCTATCACTTCCTTCTCACTTTCTCTCACATGTACACATATCACTTCCTTCTCACTTTCTCTCACATGTACACCTATCACTTCCTTCTCACTTTCTCTCACATGTACACATATCACTTCCTTCTCACTTTCTCTCACATGTACACATATCACTTCCTTCTCACTTTCTCTCACATGTACACCTATCACTTCCTTCTCACTTTCTCTCACATGTACACCTATTGCTTCCTTCTCACTTTCTCTCACATGTACACATATCACTTCCTTCTCACTTTCTCTCACATGTACACCTATCACTTCCTTCTCACTTTCTCTCATATGTACACATATCACTTCCTTCTCACTTTCTCCCAAATGTAAACCTATCACTTCCTTCTCACTTTCTCTCACATGTACACCTACCACTTCCTTCTCACTTTCTCTCACATGTACACCTATCACTTCCTTCTCACCTTCTCTCACATGTACACCTATCACTTCCTTCTCACTTTCTCTCACATGTACACATATCACTTCCTTCTCACTTTCTCTCACATGTAAACCTATCACTTCCTTCTCACTTTCTCTCACATGTACACATATCACTTCCTTCTCACTTTCTCTCACATGTACACCTATCACTTCCTTCTCACTTTCTCTTGCACATGTACACCTATCACTTTCTTCTCTTTCTCTCCCACAGACAAACACACACACACACCTATGACTTCAGTCTCTCTCTCATATACCTAGCACTTCCTTATCTCTCTTTGTAAAACATTTATTTCAATGATTAGATGACAGCTGAAAGCAGAGACTACTGCAAGATCCTTCAGAGTGACTATAGTGCCTGCTATAACTAGCTGACTCTCTGGGAGAGTGAGGTGAGAAACACAGACATCATCAAGCTGTTGGTGGTGGTGTCAACTACTGCACCAGCATCCCCCACAAGTAGCTGGCCTCCACTGGCCATGTGATTGATAACCAGATCAGCTGGTGATAACACTGTTGACACTAAAGGCCAGGTAGCAGCAGGCCCATGGTGACCCCAGCTCACATACAGGTTTAACATTGTTGGAAAGCAGGCAGATCAATAGAAGATCCACACATACAGGATGGGGCAGACTGGCAGATGTTTATCTACCCTTGGTGTCAGACCAACATTACAAGCCAACAGGAAGGTGGGGGAACAGGAGTTGAGCAATACCCAGGAAGAACACATAGAGTCAATGGAATAGAATTAGAGTGCATGGGATAGAGTGAGTTATTTAGAGTAGAAGAGGGAGTGAGCAAACAAGAATGTGTATGTGAGAAAGAATGAGTAATTGAGTGTGGGCATAAGTGTAGGCATGTGTGATGGTGGTCATGGCGATGGTATGTGTATGAATGACTGTGATGGTCGTGGTGATGGTATGTGTATGTGTGACTGTGATGGTCATGGTGATGGTATGTGTATGTGTGACTGTGATGGTATTGGTGATGGTATGTGTATGTGTGACTGTGATGGTCGTGGTAATAGTATGTGTATGTGTGACTGTGATGGTCGTGGTGATGGTATGTGTGACTGTGATGGTCGTGGTGATGGTATGTGTATGTGTGACTGTGATGGTCGTAGTGATGGTATGTGTATGTGTGACTGTGATGGCCGTAGTGATGGTATGTGTATGTGTGACTGAGATGGTCGTGCTAATGGTATGTGTATGTATGACTGTGATGGTATTGGTGATGGTATTTGTATGTGTGACTGTGATGGTCGTGGTAATAGTATGTGTATGTGTGACTGTGATGGTCGTGGTGATGGTATGTGTATGTGTGACTGTGATGGTATTGGTGATGGTATGTGTATGTGTGACTGTGATGGTCGTGGTAATAGTATGTGTATGTGTGACTGTGATGGTCGTAGTGATGGTATGTGTATGTGTGACTGTGATGGTCGTGGTAATAGTATGTGTATGTGTGACTGTGATGGTATGTGTATGTGTGACTGCGATGGTCGTGGTGATGGTATGTGTATGTGTGACTGTGATGGTATTGGTGATGGTATGTGTATGTGTGACTGTGATGGTCGTGGTAATAGTATGTGTATGTGTGACTGTGATGGTCGTAGTGATGGTATGTGTATGTGTGACTGTGATGGTCGTGCTGATGGTATGTGTATGTGTGACTATGATGGTCGTGCTGATGGTATGTGTATGTGTGATGTGATGGTTGTGGTGATGGTGATTGGGGGGGGGGGGGGGGGGTTGTGCGTGTGTGTGTGCATGCATATGTGTGTGTGGCTTTTGAAAAGAATGAAGACTGACTGTGAATGTCCCACTTCGTCTATGCCTTCCCCGGCTGTAAACTCCAACAGAAAGCTCTGGTTGTTTGTCCACTTCTTTGATCTTTGCTTTGTTGTGTGCACATCCACTTTAAGTATCTTGTTTGTATGCAGACTGTTGGTTACTGACCTCTCCGATTTAGAAGAAAAGCCCTAGTTAGTCGACTCTTTGGACAATGCCTGTAACGGAACAGTGAGTCTCTGCTTGTTGTCCGCACAATGAGGCCCCAGAACCGACATGGGTAAGCCGATATCTCACACCAGTGTCTAGTGCTGCAGCTGTTTATTTAGTGACCGTGTGGCAGATGATGGAGAAAGTGCTAGCAGAGACACTAGGAGACACATGAAGCAACCAACCTGCTGCTCCAGCCAGTCTTCTGTAACACTTAGCATGTCCTCATAGGTCATCTGCTTAAAGAGATAGGCATACTTGTGTAGTCTCAGGCTCTTTAACCACACCGGCACCTCTGTCAGAGTAACAAGTGGCCACATATCAATAACATCACAGCCACATAATCACACACACACACCCACCCACATGAAGACACATTGTATACAACAAGTGGCCACATATCAATAACATCACAGGCACATAATCACACACACACAGGAACACACATTGTATTCAACAGAAGCTCTAATATTTCACATCCAAGGAAGTATGGGCACATACTCAGGGTGACTTCTGATTAACAATCAACACCACAGCAAAATGGACACCTACATATATATCTATATTAATAAAAATGTTAATTTTCCGATTTTGTTAACTCTAAACTCGGAAACTACTGAACCAATAGCTTTCAAATTTTCACACAACGTTGCCTCTGACTCAAAGTGTGATTTTTTTGTCATAAAATCGCACAAACCACGAACGATGTAGCTCCAGCAACGGTCAAATCATTATTTGTTTTGTTGCCTGCCCAGATTTGTTTTTAGTTGATTGGCTGCCTTCGACTGTGTAACACCGAACTTCACATTATTATTATATACTTTCATTTCTACTAAATCCTTGAGTATTTAGTAGCGTAGTTAGTTGTAAGCATTTTGCCTTTTACACTGGGTGATATAATTTTTTTTTTTTTTGGGGGGTGGGGGGGGCGCCAAACTAGGTGTCTTCCATGTTTTATTGTGGTTTATAGCTAGGCTGCAATATCTGCGCTTTTTTTTCTTAGATTTTGGGGTTTACAGCTAGCCTGCGATAGCGGCAATGTGATGCTCAATGTTCATGTCACGGGTAATATTTGTTCGCCCTTGAGAGGGTGGTTGGCATGTTGTCTTGTGGTTTACAGCTAGGCTGCGATATCTGACCTAAAGTCTTCAGTAGTAGAACTGTAAGTATTCCACCCTTCATACGGAAGACCGGTGTTCGATTCCCCGCTGGGTGCTAATTTTTCTTTTTCTCTAAAGGGGCGATTGGCACGTTGTGTTGTGGTTTACAGCTAAGTTGCGACATTTGCGCCTTAACCCCAAAGTCATCCGATTTCAGTACAGTCCAAATTAGCCTCCCCTCCGACGCTTCACTCGGTCAAAAATGATTCGTTGATGACAGAAACTGTTAACTAAGAAGGCTTATGGTCCAGTTTGGTTTGGGTCGACAAGGATGCCAAGGTTAATTAAACATCGTCCCTTCAGAGAGGGAGAGATGACGAGTGCAGGTTTTTATTTCTGCTATTTGCGAGTATAGTGTACTTTTCTTTTTAATCACGAAATATTAATGTGGGTTCCACCAGCTAGTATATATATATATATATAGGTTCTCCTTAAAACTACGGCCACTTATTATGGAGTACGCCGGAGTTCAGTCCCCTGGCCACATTGCAATTACGGAGTGGACAAGAGGGAATACATATGTTTTACTTTTTCTATCGTGTGTCACAGTACAAAAATGTGTGTCCTTGATGTTTTACTTGTTCTATCTGTGTGTCACAATACAAACGTGTGTCCTTGATGTTTTACATGTTCTATCGTGTGTCACAGTACAAACGTGTGTCCCTGATGTTTTACTTTTTCTATCGTGTGCCACAGTACAAACGTATGATTCAAGGATGGCTGTCAATGGGGCCATTGCTGGACCACCTCATTCAAAAAAAGACAGGAAGGGCGCTGCTGTTAATCCATCTGCGACCATAAACAGAACAGACTGGAAAGGACCCTGGCAAACCGAGGCCAATGTTAGCTTAGTAGCATGTCAGAAACATTCACGGGACACTAGAAGTGTCAGGCTGACTAGAAGATTCCATATGACATTTAAAACAGTAAAGATCCCTTCAAGACTAGAAACGGGTGTTGCCGACACCATAATGACTACAAACGGCTGGTGCCGACCCAAAACATGACTACAAACGGCTGGTGCCGACACTATTCATGACTAAACACGGGTGTTGCTGACACCATACATGCCACAAACGAGTGTTGCTGACACCATACATGCCACAAACGAGTGTTGCTGACACCATACATGCCACAAACGAGTGTTGCTGACACCAAACTTGACTACAAACGGCTGCTGCCGACACTATACATGACTAAAATCGGCAGGTGCCGACCCAATACACGACTACAAACGGCAGGTGCCGACCCTATACACGACTACAAACGGCAGGTGCCGACACTATACACGACTACAAACGGCTGTTGCCGACACTATACATGACTATAAACGGCTGTTGCCGACACTATACAAGACTACAAACGGCAGGTGCCGACACTATACATGACTACAAACGGCAGGTGCCGACACTATACACGACTACAAACGGCTGGTGCCGACACTATACATGACTACAAACGGCTGGTGCCGACACTATACACGACTATAAACGGCTGGTGCCGACACTATACATGACTATAAACGGCTGTTGCCGACACTATACATGACTATAAACGGCTGTTGCCGACACTATACATGACTATAAACGGCTGGTGCCGACACTATACATGACTATAAACGGCTGGTGCCGACACTATACACGACTACAAACGGCAGGTGCCGACACTATACATGACTACAAACGGCAGGTGCCGACACTATACATGACTATAAACGGCTGTTGCCGACACTACACAAGACTACAAACGGCTGTTGCCGACACTATACATGACTATAAACGGCTATTGCCGACACCATACATGACTAAACACGGGTGTAAAAGGACGCAGATCTGCCACTGGGTGCTAGGTAGGCAGGTAACGCGCCACAGGCTTACCAGTGAGGTGACGGAAGTAAAAGATTCACCAAATCCCTAATAATGATCTGACATATTTGTCAGCTGTAAAGCCCGTCTTAAGTCGTCACGGCTTGGGCAGAGTCCGAGAGGTCCCCTTGATGTATCACGATGTCATCTCCAGGCACTATGTCTCATAACTGCCACGTGGCAACAACTGATCCATGGAAAAGCTAATCCCATGTTTGTTGAGGACAGCAAGGTAGTAGTCAGTAGGGGTTTCCTCACACGTCTCTAATCTTCTTGCTCTAGTAATGTCCACACCAGAGACCTGGCTTCTGTGCCGTGTCTGTCACCATCTGCCAATATTCCACAGGAAATCAAGTAGCCCGACGTGGTGTTTTGCGTTCGCTTTCATTTCACAACTGTTGCCATTTGGCCTAAAATGTGATTGGCTTTATTGCATCTTTGTTGGATTTCTTTATTAATTCTTCCGTCTTCAGAAAAAAATGCTTCCCAGATATGTACAATTCTTCGCCTGCTTTAACTGTTGTTCATCAATATTGATATTGGTGGTTTTTCCTTTCCTGGAGAATATCATCACTTCTGTTTTGTCTACGTTGATCTTCTTGCAGGCAAAAACTGCATTTTATAAAATGAAAAACGCAATATATCCTTGTCATTGAGAGTTATAAAAAGAATTCTTGCTTGCTACATACATCCAGTTTTAACATATGGCTGTGAATCCTGGACAATCGGTAGGCAGACCAAACAATTTGTAGAGGCCTCAGAAATGTGGTTTTACAGAATAATGCTTAGAATACCTTGGACAGCCAAAAAAAGCAACCAAGAGGTTTTGAAAGAGGCGGGAGCCCGAAGACAACTTATCACAAACATCAGAAGGAGACAGTCATCATTTTTCGGCCGTGTTATGAGAAGAGGGAAAATAGAACATGTTGTGACCACTGGAAAGATCTGTGGAAGGAGGGATAGAGAAAGACAACGAGAGAAGATACTTGAAAGTCTTGTTGCATGGCATGGAGGTGTGTCGGCACACGAACTGATACATGCTGCAGGAGATCGCAGATTATGGAGAGGCATGATCGCCCACGCCAGTCGGCATGGCACCTGATGATGATCTTCATATCGTAGTTGTCGCATTCTAAGTGGAGTCTATTATTATCTTGTTGTTGTACTGCTGCTGGTGCTATGATTGCTTGGTCAACAGCAAACAGCAATTCCTTTAGTGATTATCTGATGATGTCCCCTTCGCTGGTGTTAGCTGATTTGCAAATCTGGTCAATGTATGTGATGCACAGTAGAACGCAGCCCTGTCTCAATCCATATCTCATGTAGAAGTTTTCTGACATTCCTGTATTTGTTCACCTGCCTTGCTGTTCACGTATAAACTCTTGAACAATTTAATCAGGTGTTCGTTTACTTCGCAATCCTGTAGTACAGTCCATAATTTATTCCTATATGCTTCGTGTAATTCCTTAACGAATTCTACCGTTCTTTCCACTAATTGTCTAAGCAAATACTGCAACAGTACAACTTCTGTTGTTTCGAAACCCCATTTGTACTTCACTAAGCTGTGGTTCGATGATTGGGCGTAGGCTTTTTTCAAGGATCTTACAAAATGTTTTCCTGGTTTGGCTCAATAATGAAACTCCTCTATACTTCTCAGCGCCTCCCTTGCTGCCTTTCTTCTTCAAGACGGGTACTATTCTTGCGTTTCTCCAGTCCTCGTTGTTTCTTGTGCTGTCCAGACTAGGCTCAACACTCTGTGCATCCATCTTATGCCTACCTCTTATGTTGCTTTGAGTAGTTTAGCAGGTATATCGCCTGGGTCTGGTGCTTTGTTGAAAGGCGCCGGTTTTACAGTTTTTTCTTATTTCTGCCAGTGTTGTGCTTGGTTCGAAATTTTCGCCAATGCAGCTGTTGTTGTCTTGAGATGTGGACTGTTTTTTTAAATTTAATTCTAAGACAAGTTGAAATGTTGACGCAATTTCTCTAGGACCTTTTGTGGGTTCGTTTAAGGGAACACCTGTTTTGTCATTTAAAATTTATGTTGGGTCATACTGTTCGTTCCACACTCAAAGTGTGTGTGTGTGTGAGACAGAGAGAGAGAGAGAGAGAGAGAGAGAGAGAGAGAGAGAGAGAGAGAGAGAGAGAGAGAGAGAGAGAGAGAGAGAGAGAGAGAGAGAACACATGCTTTGGAAAAAGATGAATATAAAATGGGTTGAATTCAAGAGGGTCTACGAAATAAGCGAAATGTCTAGGCAACCACTGGTATCAACAGTTGTAAGACAAAGAAGGTGGCATTTTTTTTTTTTTTTTTTGGACACACTGAAAAGAAACCAGCACATAACCCCAAACAGACACTGAAATGGGAAATGGGAGAGAATGAGGAAAAAGACGTCAATGAGAAACCATAAAACAGACGTTGACAGTGAAGCCAGAGGCGCTGCACTGAATTCCATCCATGAGACTGAAGTGACCGCACATGACAAAACGGAACAGAAGGATAGAGTGCTAGCGTTATGTGGCATAACGGGATCACGGGGGAAGATAGCAGCGACAGTGAATATAGTGCCTAGCTCACATCACTGGCTCTGGTTCAATATCCAGCAGTGGTGGCACAAACATAACTGCTGTTCTGGAGTGATCTAGCGTGTCATTAAATGGGTACCCGATAAATTCTAGAATTATCTAGAAAAGAAAAAGCATCTAGCCACGCCTCGTTCTTTGAACCACACCTACAGCAGGTGAACGCTAACACTTGACATTCGCCGACAGTTGATCATTTGAGACTTACAGCAGACAATGATCGAGTCAAAGACGGACAGGAGGAGAGACTACTGAGCTGAGAGACTACCGAGCTGTGAGACAAACGAGGAGACAAGAACAGGAGACTACGGGGCAGGTGATGAGGAGGTAGATACGAGATGAGCTGCACACCTGGGTGGCGACAACTCCGTGAAATCATAGACGACAGGCGAGCAGACGACGTTTAGTTTCAGGAAAGCCATGGAGTCATGACCCAAAAAAAAAAAACCAGGTCACATATCTGGCTTTCCCGTATTCGGAAGGCCAACAAACGGAAAAGTCAGTCACGGCTAGTTAGAAGATGGCGGCTACACCAGGTAACAAGGGTCTTTTCTTGTTGATGTCTTTGTGACGCGCGCATCGGACTTGCTCGACAACAAATAACCTCATTAGACATCGTTTTGCTGTCTCATGTGCAACGGAAATATTTCAGGGGTTAATTACTATATCAACTCGCGTTAACGGGGTTGGAAGGAGGGGGGGGGGGAAGTGAGGTAACAACTCTAGCATGTTCGGCTAACACCCGGCCCCTCCCCCCCCCCCACTCCAATGTAAATAAGAATGGGATCTCTCTTCTCTCCGCCCCCCCCCCCCCCCCCAACGATTTGCTATTGACAGCAACAAGGGTGTGGTGATCTTCTCTGGGTACAGTACTCTCGTGACTGTGCAACAGTGTTAACAAGAATCACACCATGGAAAGACAGAAGCCTCACCAAAGTCATACAAGACAGCAGTGGCTGTACAAGTCCACTACAACCCACCGCCTATGCGGAGACAACAATGATTGTAGACTAGGTTTGGAGGACAGACACACACGTAAACATATAAATAAAAGATATTGTAACATGAGAACATATGTCCATTAAAGGACCATTTCCCAGGCTATGAGAACAAAAGAAAGAAAGTCCGACTGGATGTTTCAACCCACACCCTTTTGTTCTGCAGATGAGCGTCTATGACGGCGCCTCAAGAAAGTATGTGCAAATCAAAACTAATTAAATCTAGCATCAAGCTTAGAACACATTAGCATGTGTGAAATCACTGACAATCAATCCTCAAAACATGTGCTTGGTTCCCAATCATAAGATGACAAAAGTAGACAGTGACTGACACAGAAAGCTGGCGTTGGTCGCCATATTGCCTCATGCGAACTGACACAACAGACAGTAGAATGTATACTTTAAACAGATTCAAACAAGACAGTAACACGAATCAGCATAAATAAAATATCCCATTTGTAACTAAGAGCATAATCGCAGTTAAAACAGGCTTAAATAAAAGTGCCACAAAGAATTGTGCCAAAACTCTATGCCACCGTCAGCCTGTCATCAAAGAAACTGATCGCCTGGATGACTCAACATACAGCAGAAGGACCTGGCATAACTGATTGACTGGATGACTCAACATACAGCAGAAGGGCCTGGCATAACTGATTGACTGGATAACTCAACATACAGCAGAAGAACCTGGCATAACTGATCGACTGGATGACTCAACATACAACAGAAGGACCTGGCATAACTGATTGACTGGATGACTCAACATACAACAGAAGGACCTGGCATAACTGATCGACTGGATGACTCAAAATACAACAGAAGGACCTGGCATAACTGATTGACTGGATAACTCAACATACAGCAGAAGGACCTGGCATAACCGATTGACTGGATGACTCAACATACAGCAGAAGGACCTGGCATAAGTGATCGTCTGCATGACTCAACATACAGCAGAAGGACCTGGCATAACTGATCGACTGGATGACTCAACATACAGCAGAAGGACCTGGCATAACTGATAGCCTGGATGACTCAACATACAACAGAAGGACCTGGCATAACTGATAGCCTGGATGACTCAACATACAACAGAAGGACCTGGCATAACTGATTGACTGGATGACTCAACATACAACAGAAGGACCTGGCATAACTGATAGCCTGGATGACTCAACATACAACAGAAGGGCCTGGCATAACTGATAGCCTGGATGACTCAACATACAGCAGAAGGACCTGGCATAACTGATTGACTGGATGACTCAACATACAGGAGAAGGGCCTGGCATAACTGATTGACTGGATGACTCAACACACAGCAGAAGGACCTGGCATAACTGATTGACTGGATGACTCAACATACAGCAGAAGGACCTGGCATAACTGATCGACTGGATGACTCAACATACAGCAGAAGGACCGTGGCATAACTGATTGACTGGATGACTCAACATACAGCAGAAGGACCGTGGCATAACTGATTGACTGGATGACTCAACATACAGCAGAAGGACCTGGCATAACTGATTGACTGGATGACTCAACACACAGCAGAAGGACCGTGGCATAACTGATTGACTGGATGACTCAACATACAGCAGAAGGACCGTGGCATAACTGATTGACTGGAAGACAACATACAGCAGAAGGACCTGGCATAACTGATTGACTGGAAGACTCAACATACAGCAGAAGGACCGTGGCATAACTGGTCGCCGGTTGAGGGAAACTAGACTTGGAAGACACGTGCACACAAGTGTGAGGAAGAGATCACAGAAAACAGATACACCTAGAAGGCACGGATGCTGCAAACGTCACTGTCATGGAGGATGACGAATGATTTGATGTAGAACCTATAATGGCGTGTTAACACTAGACCAGGGCTATTCAGCTGCCGGCCCGCAGAGGTCTAGCAGGTGGCCTGCGGATCCCTGTGAATTGTATTGATCATGTTGCTATGCTGCGGCTCATCATCTTTTGATGATGACCTCCCACGTGTATCAGTGCCTACCTTTAGCGTTCCACTTCTTTTTTTTTTTTTTTTCAAATCTATCTTTATTCTCAAGCTCTGCAGAAACTTTGGTAAACGACTTCATCTTCTGTACGACCTAATCTTCTGTACAGCATAATCTTCAGAGTCATTCGATTTCCCAGTGACTTCCTCTCATATCACACTTGCATGCCACGGCCAAATGTGACTAGAATGGCGTGTTTTATGCTGGCTTCACAAATCAGTGTCGTGATGATACAACTGTGCATAAATTTTCTTCATGCACGCCCTTGAGGTAAGACAGAAAGAGACCATTGTGTTATATGTATCGACTAATTCACAAATGGTTAACAAGTACAATTACGGAAGACGGGTAAGAGAAAGCGAGGAAATAGCAAAACCAGGTCACAAAAGTGTCTGAAAGCTGAATGTCCGTGTCTATCAGTGGAAACTGAATGTCCGTGTCTATCAGTGGAAACAGAATGTCCGTGTCTATCAGTGGAAACAGAATGTCCGTGTCTATCAGTGGAAACAAACATACCGGACGGTTAATGTGGCATGCATGAGATACAGCGAATACAACAGGAAAACAATAGGCATAGCAAATGTGTGGAAGGAGGTAGAGAAAGCAGAGAGAAAGACGCTGAGTGTGGGTCAAAATTACAAGCAAGTAAGACCTGAAACAACATATGTACGAAAAGAAGAATGAGAATGTCCAACACAAACTGCTGACCAACAATCATAGACGGGAAACAATATATAGAATTAGTAGAGAAGACAGGAAACGACCAACAACAACAAAAACTGCTGACCAAATCAAAGATGGGACACAACATATAATACAGAGAGAAGACAAGTGGACGACAACGACCAACAAACAAAGACTTGACGCCTGCAGGACTCACCTCTCATGCCGCTGCCCTCTTCCAGAAAACAAGAGAGAAGACAAGTGTACGACAACGACCAACAAACAAAGACTTGACGCCTGCAGGACTCACCTCTCATGCCGCTGCCTTCTTCCAGAAAACAAGAGAGAAGACAAGTGGACGAGAACGACCAACAAACAAAGACTTGACGCCTGCAGGACTCACCTCTCATGCCGCTGCCCTCTTCCAGAAAACAAGAGAGAAAACAAGTGGACGACAACGACCAACAAACAAAGACTGGACGATGCCTGCAGGACTCACCTCTCATGCCGCTGCCCTCTTCCAGAAAACAAGAGAGAAAACAAGTGGACGACAACGACCAACAAACAAAGACTTGACGCCTGCAGGACTCACCTCTCATGCCGCTGCCCTCTTCCAGAAAACAAGAGAGAAGACAAGTGGACGAGAACGACCAACAAACAAAGACTTGACGCCTGCAGGACTCACCTCTCATGCCGCTGCCCTCTTCCAGAAAACTGTCCCGGCTGGGCTGGGGTCCGTCCTCGTGGTGGAAGTCACTGCCGCCACTGCCAGACGACGTGACCGAGCTCTGAGGGGATAAGGGCGCGTGCTCCGTGTACACGGACCGGGGCGGCAGGATGGGGTGTTGCTGCTGGCTGTGATGGTGTCCAATGCTGGTCTTCAACCAGTCCGACACGGTCTTCTCTGGGTTCTGCAGCCTCACGGGCGGTGTGATTGAGTGCGTTCGTCGCAACGGAGCGTGACTGTTGTGGCTGACTTGCGCTAGAAAACAAGAGATAAGCCTCATAAGCACCCTCATACTGTCTATACTGAAGCTAGTTACAAGACATTGACAAACTAAACCCAACATTTTTTTTTTTTTTGGCTGTTGCAGTTTTTCTAAGTAAATTTGTGTTTATCGGTCTGCCACTGCACTAAAGGGTCGGCTCTTGATACCACTGTCGACAAACCAACCCAAGACGGTATATCTTCCGTAGTAGGGATTGAACCCGGCACTCCGGCATTACGAAACGCGTTCATTCATCTACAACAAACGTGTCGAATTGAGGGTTCCCTGAGGGCCATATGGGTCGTCACGAAAGCTACATATGAAAACTAAATAGAGACCTTTAATAACAACTTTACAAAACATTGCCGACCATTTCCTCTCTCTGACGGAGCCGGACTTTTAAAAAAACTAACATGACCATGACTCTCAAGTCGACCCAGCCTCGAGTGGGTACCAAGCGCAGTGCTGGGAAGTAAAGACGGCCGGCGTAATACTGACCCCATTACCCACCAAGTGCCGATTGGTCTATAAAAATATAGGTCTAGCCCTAAATTCACAACACGCCTAAAGGCGGGGAAAAGGGACCGTTACTTTTATTTCCTCCATGTTGGTTGCATGCGACCCGCCAGTTGGACATACTTGATGTACACAGAATGTTACTGAAGTGAGGCAATCACAGTGGGCTTCCCAATCAGTTCAGTGGAGAGGGTTCGTCCATTCCTACATCTTTGGGTGTAATATAGCAACATCAAAATGTGTATCACAGTTTGCTGCAGACAAAGTTAGGCGAAAACAAGGGAAATGTCAGCTCGACAACACCATGATCTAGTTACTACAGCAGGGTGTAGACGTCTGCTAGAAACATCGCTAGACTTCTCTGTCAGCAGTTTTCTTTCTGCCTTTGTTCCATTCTGGTCAGTCAGGGGGACTGTCGGATATTGTCTTCCCAACAGACCCTGAAGGTCTGGGTCCCTGGTTCTTAGCCTCCCATGCCTGCAGGGGTGGACGATTTTCTCTCATTCTGCATGCATGTCCACACTGTGAGTGATCCACTCGAGTCTGTAGGCCCGGGTTTCAAGGTCATGACATAGTGTCTGATTTCAAACTTTATTCTTTCTAAACCACCTTTCTCAGATATCTCATTTCTGAGGCCTGAAGCTGACTTCTGAGAGCAGTTGTCACTGTCCTTGACACACAACCGTGGGTCAGCAATGGCACATAGGGAGAGCGGTAAACAGCCATTTTCGTCCTTCACTGGTCTCCCAGCTTCGTGTGTGCTGGTTAAGGGTGTATGCTCCACAGGCGGGGGATAAAGAAAGGCAGAGGAAGAAGCTCTGTCTTAATGCCTCCATTTAGGTCTATTACAACTCCAAGGTAATTAAACTGGCTGACCTGCTTCAATGCATACTCTCCCATCATGTTCTGGTGTTTCTTCTCCTCTCCTGAGATCACCAAGGTTTTGTTCTGGAGATACTGATGGTCATTCCTCCCTCTCTTCTCAAGCTCTTCCTTCCAGAGAAGCAAGTTGGATACATAATATTCGGCTGATAAATCAGCTAGTACTTTGTAAACAGACAGCTAAATCAGGACCTCATCTTCCACTCATCCTACTGAGGACTTTGTCTTCTCCTTATACGTCTTCATGACATCATTCATTATAAGAAGGAACAGGAAAGATGTGAGAATATCACCTTGTCTAACACACCTAGTGGTCTTAAATGCTTCAGACTTGTGGCCTGCTGTTCTGATAGTGTCTGCATCTTCCCTAGAAACCCTGTATGCACTGATCTCGGCTGCTGCAATGTTCTTCTTTACCCAGCAGTCCCACAGCTTTTCCAAGCAACCTTGTCAAATGCTTTTTCTAAATCCCCAAAAACATCGGTGCATCTCTAATATTAAAGGACTTTTCACTCATGTGAGTGTAAAAATAAGATCTTGAGCACTTAGGTACAAACATAACCGTTTCTGTGTCAATAGCAATTAACGAATCATGTCACAGGCAAAAATCTGAAATAAGAAAAGCTTTAATGCATCAATGAATCCACCTAGACTCCTGATTTAGTAACACTCACTGTGCGTGGGTGCGTGCGGGTATGTGTGTGCGTACATGCACATGTTCTTCCACGAACAGCATTCTGTAAATATATTCAAGCTGTTCAAACAGTGATTAATTGTGTTATTTGTGAAAAGCTGTCTAGGTTCCACTGTTGTGTTCAGACTTGGCTGGCAACAGGGACACGGCCACCATTAGAGTGCTAACAAAGCTAGTGGGAGAAACGTCCGGCTGGGAAACCACAGAAATGCCTGACAGATATCTGATATGGGCTCTGACAATAGCCAATACACATGTTCAGGCGTGACACAACTAAGAAAATATAGCGGGGGTTGGGGGGGGGGGGGGGGGCTCAGGTCCCTTTTATGTTGTTAAGCGGGTAACCTCCAAGAAGCGTATGTCTTGTTTAACTGTGAAATAATAACAATTAATTATTTATTATTATTATTACTTTGCGTTGACTATGAAATTAATATAGTTGACATAAGACTAAATATATGAACAAATACTTGACATGAAGTCTATACCAGGTAATACGGAGAGGGGGGGGGGGCAAAAAAGAGCGAATGGAGGGTGCGACAAGACGAATTTCAATGTCCCTCTAAATTGCTTGCAAGAAAGCTGGACAGTCTTAATAAAGAAGGAAAGATTTGGTTTTTTTTTTTAAATAAATAAACAACTTACAATAAGGCGACTTAGAAATGAGAAAGAACCCCAGCAGAAGCACCCCAACAACTGAATCCTCCAATCAGCGACAGTTTGGTACGCAGGAACAAACATTTTGTTGGCAATCTATAAATAGCCAGCAGCAGTCTCCAGGAGGGGGAGAAAGCAAAACAGAGTTCAGAAACAGGACTTGACACGACTCGGCAGTGATCCTATGGGAGACCAGAAGTGATCACACATGAAAACCTGAGACTGAAATATGACAACTATTTCTAGCAGTGGAAGCGAAGTGACAAACATGTCACTTGGAGGACTGCCAGACATCCTCCATCTCTGCAACGTCTAACAGAATGATGAATGCATTGTTACATCTGCAACAGGTGGAATAAAAAGCCCGAATAGCCATTTATAGTAGTTCTTTTTAGTATTTTTTTTAAAAGAATATTTCAAAGAAGCCAAGGCAGTGTAGCGGCTGTATATTTCTGTGTTGCTGGGTGGTCTCGTTCAAACAGCACTGAGCTTGGATATTTTTTCTCCAATGCTGACCTTGGCTCCTAGGTCAACACAGCTTTGAATCAGCAAAAGGCGTGAGGCCCACAACACTCAACAAGTGTGGACTGGAGTAATAAAATTACAGATCCAGCCCTTTGTAAGTTCTGCGATTAAATTCCCATAATTTAAACTGGACAAACACTAAAACAGTTCCACAGCTTCAAAAACGGAAACTGTAACATAAATAATATTCGGTAAGCATCAGCTAGATAATATCAGTTAAGATACTACACCCCCCTACCCCCCCCCCCCCCTCCAAAAATCACCTGTTTTGCTTCCATTATAATAACAAAGACGACAACAGACAAGAAAACTAAACAGAAATATGACAAGGCTCAACTTACCATGGGAATGAGATCCAGAAAGCTGCAATGAGTTGAAGTTTGGTGGAGCAGAAGAGGTCGAGTGAAGAACTATATGTCCGTGAGATGCTCCGGCATGGCTGTTGCTAGCCCGAAGTGTCATGTGACCATTCACTGGAGGTACGTACTGAGCACAGGGCGAGGTCTCGCCACTCGGCGCCGATGGGCTGATGGCAGCACTAGCATCAAAGCCAGTATAGTGTCCTTGCACCTGATGCTGCTGTTGCTGCCATGAGGTGTGGGATCCTGAAGGAAGGATCGACATGGGCGAGGAGTGTCCATGTGAAGGCACGGCGGCCGGTGGTATCATGGCTGTGTTGTTGGCAGCAGCGTTGATGTACTCCTGGGACACAGACAACGGCGACATGTGTGCTAGGGAATGTTGTGACGATGAGGCTGGCGACGGGCTGTGGCTCTTGCAGTGGCTCAGGCCCAGGCTGTTGTTGCTAGAGCTGGTGGTGGTGCTGCTGCCGTGGGAAAAGCTGGGAGTGAACCGGTCCTCCAGGCACCCCAGCCAAGTCTGGAAACTACCCCTCTCCTCCGAGGTTATGGCCGGATGGATGAGAGAGTATGACAGCAACTGCCTGCTCTCCTCAATATTGACACCGTTATGAATGGTGTGGTTCAGAAGATCCGGGATCAGCTGAAGATAGGCTTTCTTCACGGAGCTCTTGCCAACCTGCAGCAGCGGCAGTAGCTGCAGAAGCTGGTGTATGACTTTCTCCTTCTCTTCGTTGTAGAGGCTGCGCACGAAAGCTGTAAGAGTCAATCAATCAAGTCAGACGTGTCTCCCACATGATAGCGGTAACAAGTATACGTACACTAGTTCAATATTCAACGTATGCTATATACACAGAAGACAACTTCACTGAGGGCAACAGTAACTCGGAAGATAACCACTGACTGACCACAGCTAAGTCTCCAAGCATCCATTAAAGCCAACTCTACCACAGATGGCTATCTCTGCTGCTGCTACTACATGACCTTTCTATATACTACATGCTCTAGACTAGATGGGGGGGGGGGGAGTCGCCGTGGCGGAACGGCTAGACGCACGCCGCGGATTAGAAGGTCGTGGGTTTGTTCCCTGGCAGAGCCGGAAATTTTTTTTTTTCAAAAATGACCTTGGCTCCCTTGAGTGGGTACCGGGTGCAGTCCCGGGAAGTAGAGGCGGCCGGTATGATGCTGACCACATCACCCATCTTGTGCCGATTGGTCTATAAAATATAGGTCTAGCCCTATACGCCTAAAGGCGTAGAAAAGGGTCCTTTATTTAATTTTTTTACTCGACTAGAAGAACACTGGATGCCACAACTCAAAACAGATATGCGCCTGGCGTGGTTACCTCTAGAAAGACGAAGACTAACGTGTCTACCCTTCGCGATAAAAAAAAATATACATTTACAAAGTTGCTGGCCCATACTAAGACAAGAGAACAGCAGTGCTGCTCTGACGATCCGAGTCGGCGAATCAAAGAAGCGACTAACATGCTTGGCCATGGGGGCAGACTACAGCCGTGTTCTCAAGAAGAAGCGTAACAGACTGGATAAACACATGCCTCAGCGTTGTCTGTCGTGCTACCACTCTGCAAACAGGCTGGCAGTATTTGTGTATGTATGCGCGTGGGTGAGCGCGTGCACATGTCTGTATGTGAGAGAAAGAAAGACAGACACACGGACAGACACACACAGACAGAAAGAAAGTGAAGAAAAGGTTCTGCTATATTATGTTATCTGCGAAAATCTAAAGGGATAATAATATGCCCACAATAAAATAACTCATATCCATTTACGACTATATTAAGCATGGATGTACTAGAAAATATAAACACTGACAAACATTCGTTACACACAGGCTATGTAAACGATGTGTATAGGCTCTTGAGACCTTCTCTTCCTAGACCCCCCCCCCCCCCCCCCCAAACATAAATCATGGTCTGGTAGCTGAGGCTAGACCGACTGCGTGCATGCAACCACTCTGATGCCGGGTGTCAATGACAGGTGGCATGTGTCGTGTCGATGCACTGCCAGCAAACCACATCAGCCTTAATATGCTGAATCTGGCACGGATGATGATAACACAGACACTGCTGGTGGCTTTATAACCGTGAATGTGCGAGCAGAGACATCCAGGTGAGTGGATAACTGTATGAGCAGAGACGTCCAGGTGAGTGGACAACTGTATGAGCAGATAAGTCCAGGTGAGTGGACAACTGTATGAGCAGAGACGTCCAGGTAAATGGATAACTGTATGAGCAGAGACGTCCATGTGAGTGGACAACTGAATGAGCAGAGACATCAAGGTAAATGGATAACTATGAGCAGAGACGTCCAGGTGAGTGGACAACTGTATGAGCAGATACGTCTAGGTTAATGGATTCAGGATGGGCAGGGATATCCGGGTGAGTGGATGACACTACAAGCAGAGATATCCAAGTGAATAGATGACAATATGAGCAGAGACATCCAGGTGAATAGATGACAATATGAGCAGAGACATCCAGGTGAATGGATGACAATATGAGCAGAGACATCCAGGTGAATGGATGACAATATGAGCAGAGACATCCAGGTGAATGGGTGACAATATGAGCAGAGACATCCAGGTGAATGGATGACAATATGAGCAGAGACATCCAGGTGAATGGATGACAAATATCCAGGTGAATGGGTGACAATATGAGCAAAGACATCCAGGTGAATGGATGACAAATATCCAGGTGAATGAATGACAATATGAGCAGAGATATCCACTGGAGTGAATGATAAAATGAACAGAGAAATCCAAGTGAATAGATGACAACATGAGCAGATATCCAAGTGAATAGATGATAAACTGAGCAGATATCCAAGTGAATAGATGACAATATGAGCAGATATCCTAGTGAATAAATGACAATAAGAGCAGATATCCAAGTGAATAAATGACAATATGAGCAGATATCCAAGTGAATAGATGATAAAATGAGCAGATATCCAAGTGAATAAATGACAATATGAGCAGATATCCAAGTGAACAGATGACAACATGAGCAGATATTGTGATAATACGCGCGGTGACTTCAGAATGTCTTTCCTCAACCTACTTTTATTTGTATGTATTTTGAAGTATACAGACAAATAGGGATTTGGATACATCCTTAATCTAAATAGGATGACCACATCACACCTTTAATTCTCCTGGACCGTTGGTCATATCAAACACTACAACTTTTCCCCAGATGTTAAGTGTTAAGGTACAGAGATAAGACTGACCAAGCAGACTTACTGACTGGAGATTTGCACACCATTTGTTGGTGTCAGATAGTTATTCCCCCTGCCAGATCTTCAGGAACAGATAACAAGGGCTAATTGCCATTATCTCCCCCTGAGGTTACCTAAACTGGAGTGCCGGTCCGACGGTCACTATTGACACAGTGAGCGGAAAGTGTTGGCAGAAGAATTGACAAAGTCTGATTTTATTGTGATGACAGGTGAAGTAGACTGGAGGTGTGACTAGGCCTATTAGCTGGGACCAGCTTAATTGAACCTGTAGAATGTGAGCGTGGGAATTTAAACAAGTGTTGTACAGCCCTGACTGACAGCGAATAAACTTACCCACAGGGGATGAGCTGTGGCATCCTTGAATGAGAATGATTTTAGGCGTAATGTAGGAGGAGCTTGATAAAAGTTATAAAGTGGTGAACTTAAGGTCTGGTAAATGAGATCATGTCCAGCACATGCCATCTGTTGGGCTTAACCTAAGCTTGAGACAGAACTTTTGGCATTGTGGTTTCATTTTTCCAGGTAAGATCGAAATTAGGTTCAAATCTATATTTTATGATAGAGATCTGTCTTTTTACTCAAGTGTGTGTCTTCATCACTTTGTAGTACTCCTAGGCGGACATTTCTTCATTCTCGTAGGGCACTGTCACATTGCTTTATTTCCTATTTGATAGTGTCATGAATGTTTTTCGTGTACATGTGTTTCAATGTTGTAAAACCTAAATGTTGATGTTACCATTGAAATTTAATGAACTATCATGTTTTTGAAATCACAAGCGTGAAGATAACTTTGGCAATCTTTTCACGTGTGGTTAATGTGAATCTGTATTACATACAGCTAACACACTGAAATGTGTTTAACTCTCGGGAGGCTAACGCGGAGATTGATCCCGGAGAGTAAATCCACGAGGTTTCTTATTCGATTCGCCTCAGAAATATTGTTAGCTTTCTGGGCGCGTCGATTGTTCCAAGCATAGATTCCAGAACTGGTTCTGTCTGACTGATTGTCATTTGAGTCTGTACGAGAGATGGCACCTGACGTAGAAGACTTGACTATCATTACAGGACGTGTAGAGGAAGGCAGAAGATGTAACAGTTGGAATGTGAGACATAAGCCCTTCCAAATTGGGCAGGAGTGAATGTGAGCATGAGGGAGAGATGAAATGTTTTATTTAAATAAACATGCTTGATGTTAGTATAATATACATGCTTAGTGTACATCTAGAGCAGATACTACAAATATGCGCTTGTTTCTTCATTCTCCAGTTCCCACATTGGGCAGGGACTAGTAGGCATCCATTATTTGCCGACCGTCGAGTGTAACGACCTGCAGAAAGCAGTGAGGACGACAAACTGGAAAAGATAGGCAGGGTCTCAAGCCGAGAACTGTCCGACGGTGAATTCTCCTACTAGGAGTTAAGTATATGTACAAACTGTCATCAATCACACTCCCTCAACTCTACTAGCCTAAACAAGTTCATTTTATTTTAATTTCGATTTATTCAAATAAATCATGTGTGATGAGTTTCATGATAGTTAAGTAAATTGTGTACTTAGGTTCAAGTGTCTTTGTGCATATTAGTTTACTTCAGCTAACAAATATTTAAATCACTTGATGGGGGCTTTTAAGTAATGCCAGGAGGGGAGACCAGTCGCAGGGGTTAACTGAGCACCTGGATTATATCACAGTGGGTTTATCCAGATATCTATCTATCCCTGCTCCTACTCCTGTGGATACAAGTACAGCAACTTTCATTTCATGGAACGAGCCACTCGCTGTTTTCTTGGCTATCCAGGACTGTCTAGGATCAACATAGCTTAGATAATAGTCCAGTTTCTCACGTGGGTGGGCATTGTTAAGGTTCAAACCCACACCCTCACTATATCAGTGTATTTACCCACGTGGGCGCGCGACAGATATCCAAGTGAATAAATGACAATATGAGCAGATATCCAAGTGAATAGATGATAATATGAGCAGATATATCCAAGTGAATAGATGACAATATGAGCAGAGAAATCCAATGGAGTGAATGATAAAATGAGCAGATATCTAAGTGAATAAATGACAATATGAGCAGATATCCAAGTGAATGAATGACAATATGAGCAGAGATATCCAAGTGAATGAATGACATTATGAGCAGAGATATCCACTGGAGTAAATTATAAAATGTGCAGAGATATCAACTGGAGTGAATGATAAAATGAGCAGATATCCAAGTGAATAAATTAAAATGAGCAGATATCCAAGTGAATAAATTACATCATGAGCAGATATCCAAGTGAATAACTTACAATATGAGCAGATATCCAAGTGAATAAATTACAACATGAGCAGATATCCAAGTGAATAAATTACAATATGAGCAGATATCCAAGTGAATAAATTACAATATGAACAGATATCCAAGCGAATAACAAAATGAACAGATATCCAAGTGAAAAAATTACAATATGAGCAGATATCCAAGTGAATAAATTACTATATGA